AGCATCGTAAGAACTTGATAACCGCCAACCTCGAAAGAATAAAGGAGACTCTCAACTCTTATGACCGGGTCTCTTAGTCGTGAACGAACTTTGTCCCAGAAGAGACTTACTGCTACGGCCCGGCCAAGGGGCTCAACGCGCGCACAAGTTACGCGGGTTAGCTCGAGACAACCACAAATACTACGAAATACCCCCCCCTGTCCGCCGAAGTACTGTTCCAATCTCCAGCATACTTGGAATTCCACGGAGGCCACGTCCTTGGTTTGGGGGACATTTCGAGGCTGCACATGGGTAGACTTCGCGTCCTTAAAGTCCCCACAATGCTTTGCACACGGACCAATTTCAAAAACCCTTTCGGAGAATGGCTGAACCGACGCAGCGCAGCACACATTTAAATGTAAGTATGTAGTGGCGTAGAACATGTGTTGGTAAATATGTTACTTTGTTGCATTTGTTATCAGCAACAATGTGTTCCGTGAAAGTAAAGCAAGTTCATAATTAGATAGACATCGTGAGGTATTTATTTTCGGTACAGTTAATTTTGAAACCGTTAGAGAGAGTGGCACACTTGTTAGCCTGTTCCATTCTTCTTTGTTTTCCAAAGCCGTGGCTTGGAAGCATACTTGCTTCGTTTCTGAAGGAAGTGACTTGGAAGTACGCGACTACCAAGCCAGCATCCTCGAGATTGAGAAACGGCCTCTGTCTGTTACTTTAGATGAAAATAAGGAGCCCCTCCCCACGCCCCTCTGAGAGAGATTTGGTTCAAAATAACTCAATGGAGCTCTAGGAGGAGATTCAGGTGATAATGGGGGGGGGGGGGTTACCTTGGTTGCTGATTGGCTAATGGTTACACAAGCCAAAACATCGTTATGACATCATAATAGGCCAAAATCTGATCAGCTCATTTTCAGACAGGTTTTTATAGAAATGGATCAAAAAGAGAGAGAATCTTTGTTCCTGAAACTTTCAGAGTCTCTTTCCACAGAGGGGACACATGTTGATGTAGAAGAGACATGAAGAAGAGGGGACACATGTTGATGTAGAAGAGACATGAAGAAGAGGGGACACATGTTGATCTTGAAGAGACATGAAGAAGAGGACTTTGCACAATAGGTGACCTTTAAAAGGCTCTGAAGGTGCATGATGAAAAGGACACTTATGGGAGTCTAAGAGTACCGGAGCATTTGATCTTGGGCCCCTCGCTGAGCGCCGCCTCCTCGTGGTCGATGGGCTGGCTGCTCAGAGAGAAGATCCAGATCTCCGCCACCTTCCCCTGGAGCTCCTTCTGATGGGAGCAGAGCGGGAGAACCTGGCCTCCCTCTGGGGGGTGCTGCATCACCTGGGGAGGGGGGGGGAGATATCCAGTCACTTTGCATCCCAAAATCATGCAAAACAGACATGAACCTGTTGGAAAAATAGCTGTTTAAGAGCCTTTTTACGTAAAAAATGAAATATGAAGAAATATGAAGTTCTACAGTACACGCTATGAAAGACTAAACAGTTGCTTCTTTAGTCCTTTATGAATGTGCCTGAAAATTGCAGATATTATGCAGATAATTATTTACATCATGCAAATTGAACCACGCCCAGATACAGAGAAAAAGGCAACGAAATATGTTGTTGTATTTTATTATTTAAAGTGGACCTATCATGCTATTTTTTAGGCAATAGCATAGGTCTCAGATATATAAAAATACATAAAAAACATGTCTATGAAGTGTTTCGCTCAAAATACCAAACAGATCACCCATTCTAGCCATGCCTCATATCCCTCTATATCTAAAGTGCTGATTTGGGAATAAAGCTTTAAATAAAAAAAGAGGGGGCTGAGCTCATGCGGGACCCGGCAGCTACTGTCTAAACTAAATACTGCCGTGATGAAACGCCATATCATGGATTATCAAGGATTCTCTCTGAAACAGTATGGAGCTCAAAGGCTTTCTCTCTTGCCGGTTATACCACAAGGTGAGTTCCTTTTTACTTCCTGCTTCTTCACACACATGCTCTCCAGTACAGGTTAGCTCTGAGTGTTAGCGATGCTAATGTAAACACCGATCATATTACGTCCAAAACAGTCGGGCATTGTTTCTGATAGCAACTTTCTGATTGGGCCGTGGGTCCACATTTCAGATATTACGTCATATCGGACGCAAATCTGGATCAGCTCCGTTGTTCCCCCGTTTTTAGAGATTTGGGTACGGAGGAAAAGAGAGGGGGTTTTATTTTCTGACGCTGCGTGAGTTCCCCGACACACCGGGGACACATTGATGTATACAAGACATCAAAAAGTGCATTTTGCATGATAGGTCCCCTTTAACATAACAGAGGAGTCATAAGCATTCAAAGAGACACCAAAAATATATTTGTGTTTTTGCGGCTTTTTAATGGGACTAGTATATATTAGGTTATATATATACTACCTGCTTTATGTTTTCAACACTGTTTCCTTAGTGCACACACAATGAGGTGCTTCTACGGACAGTATTTCAGCAATACACAAACAGCTGTAATTGCACAGTTTCCATGGCAGTGGCTGAAGTAAAACCTCCTCCCACACAATTAACTCGTTATCACCTCGTTTTAATACAGAAGAAAAAGCAATAAAAAAAGGGAAAAATATGATATAACTTATTTATTTGACCACCTACAGTATTTGATTTTAAATTAATAGACTGATAATGACTTTCTGCTCAAGTCTCTTTGAGTTTTAAGGTGGATAAATCTTTCTCCTCGTACCTCAGCTGCTGATTGTGACCTTAATTATCTCCACTGAGCTTTGGGAGCCACATGGGGTCTGATTAGCGCATCGAAGACTCAAGATACAAGGACTTAAAGGCGTTAGTAGTTTGGCAATGAAACAAAGCAATATATAATATACTTAAAGGGAAAAGTCAAAATAGTGCCAGAGAGACAATGTGCCAAAAAGTAAATAAGTGAACTTTGCAAATCTAAAACAGAATAAAATATCAAAATGAAAGCTGAGCGACTTATCCATGCTTTCATTTCCTCCCCCCTGACTACTGCAACTCCCTTCTCTACGTCATCAGCTCACCCCTCCTTCAATAAACTCCAAACGGTACAAAATGCACCCCCCCGACTCCTCACACACAGTACAACTACTTGGTTACTGTACTTATTTTTCTAGTATCAGTACTTTCAGGCCCGGTTCCAGAACAAAATGAGTAAGGGTGCATCTGAGATTAGAGAGGGTGCAGTGGTAAAGTGCTATTTTTATAAACGGGGAGTGGACCTAACAACCTCT